GAAACAGGAAAACAAGTTCTCGTTTGAGCTCGAAAGTGGCTTTCTCGTTGCCTGTGCATCCTGGGATCTGCGCTGCTGAGGAATAAAGTGAACTGAAGCAAAATGAAGAAGATAGCGGGAGGTTTTCACAGCGTGACTGTCATCCCTCTCTTTCTTTCCATCTTCCTTTTCCTTTTCGAATCGCCTTTTCTTTCTCACGCCTCGGTGCAGCAGCGCTGTTGGTTGAGTTTGACCTTGTGCTTGAGGCCGTCGTAGAGTTCGAAGTTGTAGTTCTCCAGGGTGGTGGAGGAGCGGGACGACAGGCCGCTGTAGGAGCAGGTGCAGTACAGCAGGAGGCCGGCGCACACCGCTCCGAGCAGGACGCCCAGAGAGCTCATGACGATGATTGTGACCAGTATGGGGTCAAGGGTGTACAGCCACGAGTTGTCCTTTTCTGAGACACGCGTGACTGGAGGCTCGGATGACGGTGATGGCGTGTTCCTCTCTGGGAACTGTAAACCTGTGACAAAAACGGGAGGTTAGTATGATGACAGGCAAGGAGTGGTTGTATAAACCTGTTATCGTTATTGAATTATTGTAGAGATTGCTACAGTTAATGATGATATACATGACATGGGGAGGTGGGTTGCAAAGTGGCTTGGAAAAATCATCTTAAATATGAGATTTTACAATTACAGGTAAACTGCTATTAATGAGATCAGGTGATCTGTCAGGAGTGCAGGTAAACTTGACTTCCTGACCCTACCTGATCTTTTGCGATGTTTTTGACTTACTAAAGAGAAAAGATTGTATCAAACATCACTAAAGTCATGAATTGTTGTGAGTAGAAGACTCGTTTACAAACAGAAACTAAAGTCCGAACAGAGGTAATTCAATTCAATTTTCATTTATGTAGTGCCATTTAATATCAAAACAACAGTTGCCTCAAGGCACGTTATATTGTAAGGTATGGACCCTACAAAAATTCAGAGAAAACCTCTAGAATTGGACGACCCCCTACGAGCAAGCAATTGGCAACAGTGGGAAGGAAAAACTCCCTTTTAACAGGAAGAAACCTCCAGCAGAACCAGGTATAGCCATCTGCCACAAGGGAGATAACTTACAGAAATGTTCTTTATAATTTATAAAATTACTTTACAGAAATGACAAAAAGGTACTGGTGTGAGCTCCGTGTCTTACCTCCACCTAGCGGGCCACCGTAAATTCGTCCATCGCCACCGGGTCCCTTAACTATCAGACAGAAGCACAGGACACACCGACTTTAAACACCAATCCGATTTACGCATAATTCTAGCTGTAATTACAACAAATAAACAAAAACATGCCTCTGCATTTGCCTCTGCAAGGTTTCCTTTAAATGCTCGCCAAGTGCCTAACTCGAGTTCAGTGTCTTTCTACACAATCACCAGAAATAACAGCAACCCTTTGCATACCGTTAACTGCTTTATATTTGCTGCTAATTTTGATATTACACATTTATACTCATACACACACTTATAAATAGAAAAATACGACTTTATTAATAATAAAGATCATTAAGATACATTCCTGTCAAACACACAGTCATCACATGGTATATCGATGGTGTAAGACTGCTCATTCAGTGTGAATAACAATGCAAACATGTCATCAAATCATTAACAATTCCCGTCATTATCGCTGCTGAAATCATCATTACTGTTCGACCGGTGCATTAGATCATCAAAGAAGAGAAAAATAATGGAGACAAAATGTCAGCAGTTGCTCGTGACAGTGCTTTGTGTGAAAGTAACAGGTCTGCCAGGTGGTGCGAACTGAAAATTGACGTGGATGTGAGTGTCTGAATTGTGGCAAGCCCTCCCTCCCAGCACTTTATTCGAGCCCAATAGCCTGAGAGTACTTCTACTTTAGGTGGGTTTTCTTTTAACTTTGTGCACATTTGTGTCCGCACATGTGAGTGTGTGTTTGGGCTCGCTTGCTCTTGGCGAGCAGTCAGGAGTGGGAGTAGCTGCTTGGCAAGGCACACGTCTAGATCTGCTGGTCCCTGATGGCCACCGGCATTATTAATACTGTTTCCAGGGCAACTGGTAGTTGGCAGGGGATTGGGCGATCGAGGTGCGGTTGATGGGAGGGAAAAGTGCTTACCGCAGACCTAATAAATGCTATCTGTCCATTAACTAATTACGACTATTAGAGGCTTGGAAGCATAATGGTGTTGAGATGGCTCGAGTAGGGTGTCCGGTCCCTCCTCCCCCCAAGTTGATTTAAAAGCACATGGGCAAAGTGTGCCAGAAAAAAGTGCAGCTTCTAAATTGTGACAACAAATTGAGGTGCATTTCTGCTGAGCTGCGGGCTTGTAGGTGATGGATTTTTGCAGCAGTGACAAACCAGGGAAAGCACGCCCCGTTAAGCTACAGAGTGAAGACCTCAATTTCATTCAATCCAGGGTGTTAAATTGAGCTCGTGTCAGATCTCATCACCTCTGTACCAACTGATGAGAGAGAAATTGCCGCCAGTGTGTCTATCTCGGTGACAATTACACGATAAAAATGGGCTTTTAGAGCCCATATGTGTTAAATATTAGCGAGAAGTGCATTAGCTGTGTCTTATTTTATGTCACCGGCCAATAATGGCACTAAAAAGGGAAAAAAAAAAAACCCCAACCCTGAATGGCTGAAACTCTCTGCTCTGGTTTTTGTAATATCTCGGATTCCTCTCAAGGATGAACACATAAGGCAAAAACACTTCGCTTATGGCTTCCAGCTGGTCCGGCGGCATTGTGGGATTTGTAGGAGCGTAAATCAAGGATCGAAGCGGCGATGGCAGACAGATGTGTCTATTTACAACCCTAAAAACAACAAGCACATATTCACACTGGAAAACACGACAAGGCTCGGCTCAGGCACGGCTTTCATCTGGGCGGCTCAAAGACACGGAGAACAACTGGAGTGGGTGGTATGAAGCATGAATGGGAGTGGAACAACGTGCTTTATTACACAAGAGATTCAAGATGAAACACTGAAACACTGAAGACGGCCGCATCCATCACTGACTGATGCCTTTATCGAGAGAAAGATGAGACGTTCAATCAAACGGAGCTGGTTAACTCCGTTTGCGATGCAGGACTTTTTAAGTATGATGGATTTGCATTCCTTTGTTTTGTATTTTTGTGAGGTTTTTTTTTGTAAATGTGCACATGCTTTGTTGAAAAGGACAATGGACCCCCCCCCCCCCCCCCCTCCACACATCCCATTTCTGTTCTTTTACAAACACCCTCGCTATTGGCACAACTCATATTGCAACTATCCTGTGGTTGTGTTATTACAGAGATACCAAGAGCTTCATTTTCTGGGCCTTGCCAGATCATTTCCACAGCTAGCACAGTTATCTCCCCCCCTCCCTCCCCCCGTCTCTCCCTCTCTCAGCACTGCAGGGTTCCTCGTGTCTCTGGGGTCTTGTTTTAGCCTCGTGGTTTGGCAGCTCTGGCTGGCTCCTTGCAGCGGAACCAGCTCAAAATCCCCTCCCCGTCCTCTTCCCGCTCGCATGCCTGTGTGTGTGTCCACGTTGGGGTCATTCCAGAAGGACCGTTGGGGTTATGAGGAGCCAGACGGTACTCAATGGTCCGAATCAAGCTGTTCAGACAAATAACTTACTCAGTCTTCAGTTCTCTCATCAGGAGCAGCATAGTGTGAAATGTCAACAGCAAAACTCCTTAATGGAACAGGGAAGGAAAAACAGCAACCGAAGCTACATCCATTAGAGAGCGTGCATGTGTGAGAGAGAGAGGCCACAGTGTTTCCTTTGCCAAAAAAAAAAATATATCACTCAGCAATTTAGGACAATGTCTTTGTCATCATCATCACCGCTGGGGGCTGTAAACTAAAGCAAGTGAGGGTTCGTCGATCTTGCTGCGCCACGACTCTCACTGCCATCGCCGGTCGGCGTCGTCCTCTGACGAATACAGTGCAGCTTATAAGCGCTTCGCTTTTAGCAGAGGGTACGGTGTCGGTCCCGGCTGTCCAACCTCACCGTCAGGACCGGCTCCACCCCGGGGGTGGCCATACTGGAGGACCAGTTAGAGTACTGGAAGCACTGCGAAGAGCTGTGATAGGCCACAGACAGTTGGCTCTTCTTGGTGGCCAGGTGTTGTCGACAGCAACAGAGTGCTCTGACCAAGATGGCCGCTGCCAGGAGAAGGAGGGCACCCCCGGCAGCCATAATGTAATACCAGTGGATGGGCAAGGGAGGCACAGGAACGCCTCCCCCTGGTGGAGAGATACAGAATAATTGGCCAGCGGGAAAAGAGAGGAGTGGCACTTGTTTTTCACTTTTTAACACTGAATTCGTCTGATTCTATCCCTGTTCGTGCACCTCGTGTGAGCATGCACAAGCATGCCAGTTGCAAAAAGAAAGAAAGAAAGAAATCTCCAAGGCCAGAAAAGAAAGAAAGAAATGCATCCATCTCTGTCACGTAGCTTGGGTTGCAATTGGAGGACAAGTTTTCACACCAAGATCGTCAAGAGATTTGGTTTGAAATCGCTCCAATAGTTGGATCCAATCAAGTGCAATGCAAGCGATTTATTTCTTTTATTTCTTTATTTATTTTTTTTAAACAAAGCTCCAGTGAGATTTCTTGGTGTGAAACGAAAGCCAAAATAATTAGTCATAAAAGCACGCACACACATTGACTTAAGGAGCTTCCTCTTCCTGTTTCACACTGGCACAGGAAGTCACAAACAGCTCCTTGATATCATCTCAGAACCATGCAAGGATCAGCGGGAACATCACACGGGTATCCAGCGTTCCAGAGCTCGCACTCTCTCTCTCACTCTCTGAGCTCATATTGGACCGGGATTTGTTATTTAGCTGGCTCGAGTTGTCAGATTTTGTTTTGAGTACATAATTTATCCTGTTCTCTGTTCTTGGTTTTTCATTTTCCTTTTTTGTGTGTTTTTTGTCTGTCATGCATCAGCATCCTGGCCAGTCCTCTCCTTCTCAAGCCAAAGAGCTGTCTCCTCGGAGACCATCTCCACAGATCCTCTACTCTTCTGCTGCTCCTGGATTGAGTTCCCCCTCCCCCACCCAATTCTCAAATTTTTGGTAAGAACCAGCTAACCGGCTTCCAAGAGGCCTCTACTCCTCTATCCAAGTCTACTAAAACAAACCCTTGTAGACAGAGTGGAAAAACTTTAAAAAAAAAAAGAAGAAGAAGCCCACATGCTCTTTCCAAAGCTGATGTGGAGAAGCTGTATGTAGGATGTCACACTGAACTAAGGGGAAAATGAAGCGGGGCTGAATACATCCTGATTTTTGGACCATGTCACATAATTACAGGGGGAAATGGTGCGTGCTCCTGCTACTTCACACTGCACACACTCATTAGGCAGAGCTGACTTAGGGAGAGGAGACAGAGACACCCATGCTCGATGCTGCTCAGTCACTCTATCTGATTGCTTTCCACTGGGGACACTGGTGTGTGTGTGATGATATTAATGTGTGTGTTTGTCAAGGGTTAGACACCGTGTGCTATATGTGTGCGCGTGTGTGAAGTCAGAGGAGTAGAAAAGCCGAAGAAATGCACACACATCACATTCGCACTGAAGCCTCCTAGCTCTTATCTTATTGGAAGACATTATGAGATGCCAAAACACTAACATCAATCTCATAGGGTCTCCTAGGATGCTCTAAATATTTTTCATGAGGCAGACAGTTATTTAAAACCCTTCAGGCTGTGTCAGGAAGCCTAGAACAGAGAATATGTAGCCCTTTTCAAATATGACTCCTTATGGCGTGCCGGATTCGGCTTCCTTCGCACGTACAGTCTTTCCTTTTGAGACCAATCCTTTGTTTCTGCTAAAACTGACACGGTAAAACAATGAGCTACTGAAGCGATCTATCCTGTAACTTCACTAAAATTTGATCAAAATTAATTTGGTGTTTGGTGAATATTTGCCATTAGTACTCATTTTGAGACGTCTACATGCTGCCGGTGACGTGGCGAATCAGCTTTAAAAAGTCTGGAATCACAAAGCTGTGGCGGACTCGGCTTCTGTGCTGTCAGTGTAAAAGAGTGATTTAGACTAATTGGTTTTTCTTTTAGTGGTTCAGACCAAGCAAAAAAAGAAACCCAGGCTAGTGCATACCGACGGGCAGGAAGCAAGACCACAGGAGAAGTGACTTCACACCAAAGTCAGACTCACCTGGATTTTCGGGAGGAAAAGCCGCGAAGGGTTCTGTGAGGATAGAGAGGCGGGCGGGAGACAGGAGCAGAGAGAGAGGGGGGAGAGAGCAAGACAGCTGTTAGATAACTTTAAATATAAGAGAAAAAGTCAGCCAAATGTCACGCAAATGTCACAAGACTATCAAACTCCTCCTGAGGAAATTTTAAGTTAATTCCTCAGATAACGCACATGAATTATGGCATTTACAGTGATTCTCTGCTAGAACGCTGTTTCAAACAGAGTATATTGTGGTTGCCAGGAATTTGAGACGGGAGTGTATAGTGTATAGGCTATGGGCGTATGTGTGTGTCTGCATTTGCAAAGTTCACACATTTCAAGTTGTTTATCTGCAGCGTCCAGTAAAACTGGAGCGGGCTGTGAATGCACAGAGCAGAACCTTCACTTTGATTGCCTGGAATGCAAACACAGAGAAATGATGTCTGTGTGTCTCAGTGTGTGGTACATGGTGTGTGTGTTTGTGACTGGGGGTGGGGGTTGAGAAAGAGAGAATGGGAGTAAAGGAGCAGGGGGTCCGACTTGGGAACTGGCGCCTTTTGGCGGGAACGCCGACGTACTGTGAAAAACTCAACTGTGTTTGGTGATAAGCAACATCCCAGCATGCTCTGGGAGTGGCAAAGGAGGAGAGGGAAGGGAGGAAGGAGGAAACACAGCAGCAGGGAAGCAGGAGGGGGGCTGGGCTATCATCTTTGCCTTCCAAGCTGCTGTGCTGCTTAGACTCTCTCAGGACTCGCATGACACACACAGACATATAAAAATGACTCAACACAAACACACAGAAAAACGCTGGCCATACACATAGACACACACACTTTCCCTCTGTTACACTCTGCCACCCCACCCCCGCCGCCATGTTCCCACTGTGGTCCGGCTCCAAAGCACACTGGACGTCAGTCAGAAGTGATGACGGCAGGTTTTTGGCTCCGAACCGCCGGCTTGGTCTCTGATCTGTTTAACACCCTCTCCGAAGCCCCTGCTCAGGCTAGATTAGGGAGGCTACACTGGAGCTCGGCTCGTGCGAGGCACCCAGAAACTTGCTTGGGAAACAGCCTGTCTAGTAATTCCCTTTGATGGCTCGGGAAAATCTCTGTTTACAAATACGACAGAGGAGGGAGCGCAGGAGAGATAGAGGGAGAAAGAGAAGAGAAATCTAATGAAACATAGATTAGCATCGCCGGGGCCCACAGGGCGTTTATGGCCTAGTTTTCCTATTCTTCGTTTCTTTTATTTCTTTCTTTTTTCGTGGAGGAGTAAACGCTGTCCCTCCCTCTTCTTCCTGCTTTCATCTCTGTGTTCGGTGGGCTCTTTGGAGGAGAGGCTGTCTCTGAAACTGGGATGGGAGGGCGAGTGAAGGATTGGTGTGTGGTGGTGCTGGTGTTTCTCACTTCATGTGTGTCACTGCTCAAGGACCTTACGACTGAAAGTCGAGGCGGTAGTAGGGAGCAGTAGACTGATGGGAGGGTGAGATAATGTGTCATGAGTGTGTGTGTGTTTATCTGTAAAGATTTTTGGCAAGAAGAAGCAAAAATAAAGAAACAAAGCATGTGTGCGACTTACGTGTACACTCCGTCAGTGGGGTGCTCGAGCTGATGTGGATGTTGTCTATCCAGATGTGCCCTCTGGTGCCGTGCACAAAGTAACCCTCCATCACAACCTACCACAGCCGAAAAAAAGGAAGGATGAAGAGGAAGAGGAGGAGGGAAAAGTTGAAGGAAAAAGAAGTGAGAGGAAGAGGAAGACGGATGACAGGATGGGGGGTGGAGGCACATTGAAAATGGGGACAGCAGCAGGAGGAGGAGAAATAGGATAAAAACTTAATACGGTGCCTGCGATTTCAAAGTTGCACTCAACACTTGCAATCATCCTTCCTGCTCTGCAACCATCACCCACTTACTTTTTTATGAGAACATTAACTGCTTGTGATGTCTCTGACAAATGCACAGCCAACTTCCAAACAGTCCCACAGCCAGAGGGACACTACAGCGTACTTTATTTCAAATGTGGCCTAAAGTGACACAGAGCTTAAAACTGATACTGTCATTTGCTCTGCTACAAGTACAAGTGCGTACTTTAGCTTTAGAAGAAGCGTCACATGGGCAGCTGAACTACAAGAAGCAAGGGGAAGACACAGTCATGGCCCTTTTATACTTGGAGTGTTGTGCTACTGGCGTGTACACCTGTAGCTGAGAACAATACTGCAGCGGCTACCATGGCGAGCATGAATGGAAGCAGCTGTGTGATAAAAAATAATAGCAATGCATGATGTGGCCAACAGGCCGGGTATACTGGGAACTGAACCGTCCTCAAGACAGACTTAAAACTCTGGAATAGCTTTAGAGCACATGGGTAACATGCTAAACCTGGTAAGCTAAGTCAGTACCCAAGTAAGTAAACTTTAGCAGATTTAGGAAAAACTCTTAACAGTAAAACAACAATTAGCAGCTAAGCAGTACAAAAAAACCTACCACCAAAAGAAATGGGTGCGATCGCTAACGGTCGAAAAAATTTTTTAAAATTGTATGCTAGCTAAAAATATTAAGTACAGTAGAAATTGTTGTCTAAGTTATGGCTAATCTGTTGAAACGGTTTGTGAAAACCTTAGCTAAAACTTGTTAGCTAAAACACCTGCAATAGAGCTGAAATAGCTAGCAAAGTTACTGTTAGCTAAACATGATGATTAAG